TGGTTCGTGGGCGCCGGCGCCGGGGGAACGGGATCGAGGCTGGGCGTGTTGTGGCCGGCAATTGGCTGGCTGTGGTGGGAAAGAGTGGTTGGTGGTTTTTTTTAAAAAAATAATTAAAATGTTAAAAAAATAAAGGAAAAATTCTGATTTTCAAGGATATAATAATCATTTTGCTTTTAGTTAATATGGTTAGGCTTTTTATTGTAGATTATTCTCATTAATATCACCATTGAATTAATAACACAAATGGTTGATTACCAACGATAATTTGATTTTTTTGATGTTTACCATTGAGAAAAATAAAAAGTTGAAAAGTACCATTGAGAATTTCCCAATCTTTTTAAAAAAAAAAAAAAAAAATTGGACGCCTTTCAGTGTAAGATAGCAACCCAACTAGGCTCGTATAAACCAAACCAATCATATTCAATGTTGATAAATTCTTCTCCAATTTTTTATTAAACATAAAAAAATAAAATAAAATAAAATAAAATAAAAAAGCAAACTAGCTCCAATGTCAATAGGTCGTCTTTTGTAATGGCTTAATACTAATGATAAAAATTAATTAGACCTAATCAAACGTCGAGCCGGGCCGAAGCTAAAATTTATGTCCACTTCTTGGCCCAGGTCGGGCCAAGCTTCGAGCCGGAATTTATGTGCCCAAACTCGCTCAAAATGGTCGTGCTGTGTGAGCTTTTCGGGCCGGGCCTAAAAATCAACTAAATATGCATAAAAACGCATTCTGCCCAAAATCCACCCCAAATCGGGCCGGGTTGGGCCAGGCCATACTTGATCAGATCTACTTAAAATCCAAAAGTGAAAAAGTAATTCTTATTTTACTTTCCAAATCATTGCTCTTATGTCGTCATGCATGAGATGAACATATCAAATTATCAAGTTGGTGTTGGATCTACTCTTACCAAGAAGGAAAGGAAAGCCCAAAACTTTTAATTTCATTAATTTGGAAAAAAAAAACAAAGGGAAAAATTCACATGATTAATATGAACTATCCAGATGGCTTGAAACCGGTTAAGAAGGTAAAAATTTATTTTCCAAAAAAAAAAAAAAAAAAACTCTTCAACCACCAGTCCGGCAGTCCACCCCACTCCTTTCACCACCAAGTCATCTCTCTCTCCCTCACTACCTTTCTCTACCTTAATGCCACCATCGACCGCCATTGATCCTCGAAAACAAATAGCCACAATCAACCGCTTTCTTTATTGGCCTCCAAACACCACAATCCACTCGACTACCCTAAATGACCGACGTGTTGCTCCCTTCACTTGTTAGCATCAACCAAGCGTTCTCCCTTGTAACTCCATTGCACTCTCTCTCCCCCTCTCTTGCCTTTTACTCCCCTGATTCTTTCTCTCCTATTCATTCAAAATCAATCAACCACCAAACCCTAGGCACCCCTACCGTTGCACCACCACTGTGGGTCTCGACTTTAATTTGCTGTCCATTAACAAAATTTATGACTGCTTTTTCTTTTTTTTGGAAAATTATGACTGGTTTTTTATAAAAAAAATAATAAAATGGTTATATGCCAATCAATCAATCATGATTTGCCACCTAGCCCAAGTAACCTGCCCAAACGGTGAACCCAAGTCACCAGATCATTTTTGGAAGAGCCCCTAGTTGAGATTATTCTAAGATAGCCCATAGTAGGAATTAATATTGGAAGACCGCCAATAGTTGGGATTAATTATGTGAATTATATTTTATTTGTCTCTAAAAGATCGTCTTATACAACTATTTTGTATTTTATTTTAGTTACTCAGTAGTATCATTCCCGCAGTTAATTTTCTTCTATACACTCAAATTTAAATGAATGGGGAATTTGCTATAATTAAAAAAAAAAAAAAAAAAAAAAAATTACTTTGAAAATCTCTCAATTTTCTATTGCCATAATTTTCAATGTAGTCCTTCTAATCCTTTTTGTTCATTATCTTCATAGAAACGCATATTTCAAATTTTAAAATACATATTGAAATTATTAGTCTAATAACAAGATTCTACATGAATACGTTCTTACGGAGTATAGAAATTTCATTTGCAATTAGAATCTTTCCTATGAGTCTATGTATGATAAACAAAGATTTGATGCTGAAAGCCTTGACTAAATAAACAATAAATGTCGTATTTAATTAATTGACCTCATCAAAAATCGTAGGGCCTTGACCAACACACATTACAAATATTTTGATGATGAAATCAAGTTGATACTTAAAGAAGGTTGGAATATCAATTATCAACAAACTGTGCACGCATGATATAATTGGGTCAGCACTTAACCAAGAATTAAAAATAATTGGGTCAGCACTTAACCAAGAATAAAAAATGTAGGGTAGAATTAACATTAATGATAAATAGAATAGAAATTTATGAAAGAGAAGTGGAACCATCAAATAATGAATAAAACTTTAGTGTATGATATTGACCCAAATATCTTCTTACATTTATAATATGCCCTTTTGCTTCCTCAAAAGCCTACCATTTTAGGTATGAATTTGGTCCTTTATTTGTAGGGTATTCAATATTATTAGTCAGAAAACATTATATTTTATGGCTACAAAAACGCAATGGCATCTCATAAGTGCCCTCTTTACTTTTCTTTCTTTTTTTTTTAATGTATCTTCATCATAATTGAGTTTAAGACCCACTACTAATTACTTATATTTTGATGTAGGTATTTGTATTTGTAGTAGAGTATAAAACATATTCTTGGGTCTCAACTATCAGCTTAAGCTTTTGGTTGAGAGGGTTCTTTAACAATAAGTCCTTACTCTCCTTAGATTGCCCTAGATCAAGCCTCTTGGGGATTTGGATGCCGCTCAAACAATATGTGATTGATAGGTGATTTATGTGCAAATTTAATGTTGTGAAAAAGAAAAAAAGAAAAAAAAAAAAAAAAAAAAAAAATCTCACCATCTACACCATAGTTTAAGAGAAAGTAGTATTGTATAACTCACCATAGTTTTAGAGAAAGTAGTATTGTATAAGTCAGACTCAGGTAAATTGGATATAAGTTATTGGACACTTTGTATAAGTTTTTTAATATCCCGACTTTTGAAATTTAGATAATATATAAGCTTTTGGACATTTCGTGTAAGTGTTTGAAATCTTCAATAAGTTATTGGACATCAAATTTTGAAATTTTATTTTGGGTGGGTGGGCTCACGGCGAAATGAACTCATCCAATACTCTGTGTATGTTTAACAGTGTTGTCATAAGTGCAAGCTAGTGAGTTCATTTAAGGAGGAGGACTTTTGGAGAGACGAGTCGTATGTTCATGGCTACTTGTGGCAAGACCAAAGTTTGAGGTCAAGCGATCAAACAAACATTCAGAAATCACTGATAATTTAAACCATGCTTTGAGTACTCTCCCTCCTACTTTGTATTAGATTACACTTTCATGTAAGTTCACATAAGTTTAAAATTTAAATAAGTTCATACTGTATAAGTTTAGATATCTTTCGCAAAAGCTCTCCTCCTTTTCATTAATGACAATTGACTACAAGTATATAATTGCAACTTTAGAATTCCATCTCTAATACCACCTTTCCTCTAGTAATGGAAACATAAAGGGCTCACATCCTCATCCCCTAGTTCCCCATCAAATAATTTCAGTCCTACCAAAATAAACATGGGATTTTTCATTTTAACACCCTAAATTTTATCACTATTCCCATATTCCCATCTACTATATGGCCACTTTTAGTCCATTATAATAATTCAAAGGTAAAAGGATAAGAACATAAAGATACTATGACCTAAAAAATAATGTTAGAAATTTGGAAGGACAATAACTATGGCAAAGTCCTAAAAGATATATGATGATACAAGGGAAGACCAAAGTGTGTTGTAGAATGAATGAAAAGATGGAAGATTCTCAATTTCTCACCTAAATTTATAGCATTATTGATCTAGTAATTATAAGCTTCTATTTCACATCAATGAAAAAATATACAAAAAGAAGACTAAGGACCCATGCAATACATTTACCTTAAACTTACCACACAAAAAATAAAAAAACCATATAACACTCACATTTTTCCAACAGCTTTCAAATCTAACACCAGTAAATTTGTCAAAATCAAATTCATAAAACTTTCAATGTCTCAATTCCAATAATAGTTGTGTCATATCTCACGACATTTACACAAGAATATGAGTATGTCGAAGATTTGTCACTCTTTTTATAGATGTAGTAGTACAAATCATCTTTAAGGGTTGTTCAAGTCTTAGGTTATGTTCACTTTAGAATCCAACCAAACATATACAAATCACACCAAACCATTCCTAATCTTGCATTTGCTTATCACCAACCAAATATTGGAAATACGTACTAATTAGTTAAGCTTATGAAATATAAACATTTAAAAGATACACATTAAGATGGATCTAACAAAACCCCACTTGATAATGTCATTTTTTTTTTTTATCTATTAGCCTACATATACAGTAAAAGTTCAGTCAAACCAAAAGAAAGGATCAGATTTAAAAAATTTCGAACTGAACCAAAATTTTAAACCAGCATCATTTACTACACAAGCTTACATACGCAAAAGGCTTTTTTTTGAATTAAACTCGTCTTTGACATATAACAAGATTATTACTGTAGTGGTGTTACAAAGATGATTCACTAAATAAAGCTCGCATTTTAGCTCACAGTCAAACATAACTAGATTATTATTGAGAATGAAGTTGCTTGCATTAAGATAAGCTCAACCTGTTCACTTATGCAAAACTACAACTGCAAACCTTAGAAATGAATTCTAGCTTACATTAATATCAAGTGCTGTGACTTTTTATAAATTTTTCACTTCAAAAGTAAGTAGTAGATGCTGACACGGCATAAAACTTATAACAAACTGAGCCGAGCTGGGACCCAGTAAATCATAATCAACCATATTAGATATATATAAAGATGGTCCATCAAAAAAGAGCTAGGACATGAGGATATTCAACTAATCATGATTATCTACCCACAAAGATACTGATTGCAATAAACATCAGTATGGAACATTAGATAATATAAGTTATGCATTGACGAACATAATATCGAGGTCCAATGAGTTACAATTTACAAGCAAGCAGCAAAAAGCATTTCACCAGAATCAGAAAAATCTAATGAGTAGGAAAACCAAACAAGCAAACAGGGCCTTTGTTTGAAGGCACCTTTTTTTCTTTTTCTTTTTTCTCCTAAACAAACTTAAATGATTGTTCCATCTTATCTGAATCAATCTATATATTATGTGTACCTACAATAGTTGGAGGAGAATCACTAACATATATTTTGTTGGCTTGGATATTTACCCAATTGCTGCATTTGCCAGCTTTCATGAGGTGCAACATGTTGATGGGACGGAGTAAATTGCTGCAAAATTGATTTAGAAAAAAAGTTAGAACTACTTGCATTTTCTCCAACTATTATAATAAGTTACAGGAAAAATTAGATCACATAATGGCCAATTTATTCAGAAAAGGGGAAAACAAAACGTTAAGTTACCCTAGTTAAAATCAAAACCACTAAAAGTATTAATAAGTTCCAAGGGCTAATAAGTTCATCTAAGCCTATATTCTCTTCACGTAAGCTGTGAATTTTGTTAGGTTTAATTTGGTTTAGTTTTGTCACTGGTTTGACTGAACTTTGACTTATTTGTACATTAATACATAAGGAAAAATGTTATCAAGTGAAGGCTTGTTAAATTCGTCTCTAATGTATATTTTCCAAATATTTAATATTTCTAATTTTAATAATACAGAATTACATGTATTTGGCAATAAGCAAACACAAATAGGAAGATTGGGTCTAGTATAATTTGGTTTGATTCTTATAAGAATAAGTTCCTAAAAAAGGTGAAGAGAAACAGCCTAAGCCTCATGATCATATTAAGAACCATTTTTGGCATTTATATTCATGCTCTACAACAGGTTACAACAAGAAACTATTGCAGCCTTCTGCATAAATACATAGTCCTCATTCTTTGACTAAAGTACATTAAGATGTTCTTCATTGAATATAGTGTCTTCTCACAAAGAGCATTAGGATAAAGCTTAAAGCCGCTAACACACGGGATTATTAGATCATCTAGCTTTAATTTCTTTAAGTACCATCTGATTCGTCTTGTAGAGGTCGATTGACTAATCAGCCATACATGTCCTTTTCCACTATTTATAAAGGAAAAAACATATAAAATCACACACTTTAATTGCAAAGCAAACTAACCTTACTATGGGAAATTTTGAGGGGTAATATAATCTGATAATGCACACATGCCACTTAATAAATTTCAGACAAGGAGTACAGAAAAGAAACCAATCTTTCTGACAAAATTTCTTGATGAGGCAAGAGGTTATCAAAAAAGCATGTAAGATTCGAAAGCAATAACCTCCATTTTCGTCAAAAGCTCTTCCGCGTTGGGGGCAGATACTACTATATCACGCGCATCTTGTTTGATAAATCCTTCTTTTACACCGTTGTCAAAAAGTTGAAGTAAACAGTCATAATAGCCATCGACATTGAGAAGGCCCACCTGAAACACCAGATAACATAACAACAATGACAATATGCACTTTAACATATCATTATATTTTTAACAAATTGAGCATGAAGTTTACCGGTTTCTTGTGAATTCCGAGCTGAGCCCAGGTTATCATCTCCAACATCTCTTCCATTGTACCATACCCACCTATGAAACAATTGAAACTGTTTACACACATTGAAGTACACATACCTGTAAGGCTTGGAATTCAAAAAATGCAGTATCCATACCAGGAAGAGCAATAAAAGCTTCAGCCTCTCGAGCCATTTCAGCTTTTCTTTCATGCATGTCTGCAACAATTCTTACTTCCCCTACAGTTTCTCCAGATATCTGATCATCTCATTCACATTAAAAGCATAAGAACAAAGAAGCCCAAGTTTTCTTTTGATTTATAATTACCCTTCTAGTTCACTTTGACAATCTTTAACTTGTTAAGCATAATTGCATAATAATACTGGAAAAGACTCCTAATATTTGTGAGCAGTAGAATTATAAGTACCTAACTAACAACATAGTAACAGATATATATGCCTCCAATCCATCTTAATCCCCAATTATTATAAGGAAGGACAGAGTTGACCTAAAAAACTTCCACACATACTACTCAACAATTTTCTTTTTTTTGGTCAAAACCATGCATCGAACGGGTACTAATGATTGAATGATTACTAAATTAAATTATCAATAAACCACATCAACTATTGCAAGAATGAAAAGCACAAATACCTCTATAGGCATGAGAGCATGAGGGATGACACTGCATTCAAGAAAAAAAATTTCAAATAAGGTAAAGAACAGAAACCCAACTTCATATTTCATGGTATATTGAAGAAATGTTCATAAAATTACCCCAAAACATGGCAGCCTCCACTAAACATTCTCCTGGAAATTAACCCCATTAATCCAACACTTCCACCACCATAAACCAAATCCACCTTCCTTTTCACCTACAAAACCATATATTAAGGTAAATATTCAAATTAATTCACAGTGGCATTTTATCAAACACTACATACAGCAACCAAAAATCATCAAATGGGTCAAATTATTTGCATAACCATAAAATTTTTACCAAATTAACAAACCCATTTCTTAAAATATATCAAATCATCAATATACAAATTTCATTCTTCAAATAAGATGAAAATACTCATTAACTCATCATTCAAAATCCAATTTTGAAACAATTGGTGCAGATTAATAATCATTATATTGACTAGTATGATTGAACATACCTTAATAAATAGCAAAAAATTTAAAAGAAATACAGAAAATTGAGGGGAACAAACCAGTTCATTGCCCAAATCAATGGCACCATCACTGAAAACTTGTCTATAACCAGGATTACTCCCACAAAATACACAAACCCTTTTGAATTTACTTCCTGTATTATTATTATTTTCCATTTTCAAGGAATAATTGTGCAATAAAATAGTGATAATAAAAATACAATTGATAGAATTTTGCAATGTTTCAAAGTATTGAGTGAGAAAGACGTGTAGATAACGCAAGCTTATAAAAAAAATAATAGCAAAAGACAAGTGCTACTTAGATTTCTAGATCAACCAAAAATTAAAAAGTTGGGAAATCCCAGAAAGATAACAAAAATTAGAGAGTTTGGGTTGGTCTCCAAATTTTGTTACACAAAGTTAGCCTATTTATTCATTTATTGTAATCAAATAAGAAAAAGTGCTATTCAAAAAAACATAAAAATATGAATGGAGGAAAAATAAAATTAAGGGAGAAAGGAAAAAGGGAAAAAAAAAAAAGGTGGGATTTTGAAGTAATGATGAGAAATTGGAAAGTAAAAGCAAAGTTTCTTCTTTGTTACTAAAAAATATTGGAGAAGAAGAAAGGGAGGGGTCCTCTAATACTCAATAGAGGGTTTCACAAATTAACAAATCAAAGGGCTTTGGTTTGTAGATTCTAGATTTGTAAAATAGTGGAATTGTACGTTAACAAATGACTAGGAACCAATTCTTCAATTTTGGGACGTTTTTCCAAATTGAGCCCAAATTGGTAAATATTTACCAAAGTGGACGCGTGGCAAAAGTATTTACCAAACTAAGCTTCTAGGGTAAAACGCTGTCTCGGTCAGCGTTTTATCCTGGAATATTTTTTTTTAAAAATTCAGTTGGTAAAACGCTGTCCCAGACAGCGTTTTACCTTGTGTTTAATTTTATTTTAAATTCGTAGTTTATTATAGGTAAAAGGAGGAAAAAAAAACAAGGTAGCACATAAGACGCTGACCCAGGCAGCGTCTTATGCGCGTATATACATTCGCAGCAGTAGCAGAAACAGAACACAACAACAACAACAAAAACGCACTCCCTCCTCCCTCTCACACTAAACCACCAAGGCCGTAAACACCGCTGCTGTCGCCGCCCCCACCGCCGCCGGTGCGCCGCTGCTGCTGCCGCCACCTTGCTGCTGCCCTTCTTTCTCTCACACTCAGTCACTCAATTTCTTGGTAAAACCCTAAACTCAATCTTGTGTAATTGCTCTAAGTTGTGGTGAATTTATGTCAATTTTATGAGATTGTTGCTAATTATTAATGAAAATGTGGTACATTGTTGATAATTATTGATGGTGATGTAGTACATTGTTGATGAAATTGTTCATGACATTGGTGAAGTTGTTGATGGTGAAAATGTTGAAATTGTTAATGGTTGAAATTGGTGAGAAGAGATGAAATTGTTGAAATTATTGAAATAATTTAGGTTGAAATTGTTGAAAGTGTTCATGAAATTGTTGAAATTGTTCATGAAATTGTTGAAAGTGGTGAAGTTGTTGATGGTGAAGTTGTTATTGGTGAGAAGAGTCTTAGTTCATTATTGATAATATATCTATCAATTCATATTAGTGTAATGTTTGCAATTTTAGTTTGTTAGTAATCGTTTTGCATTTCAACCTAAACTAAGAGTTTATAAATGGAGTTAGTGCTTAGTTTGTGGGCAACCTGTTTTACCTCGCTCTAGATTTCAATAACCCTAAAATGTGTTTTGGTTATGTAGAATATGGCTGCACAAAATGTAGTTTTGTTATGCCGGTGGGGAGGTGAAATTCTGTTTGATGGACCCCGTGTCGAGTATAGTGGGGGAAATATGGAACCAGTAACACTTGAACCGAATATGACTATGAATGATTTGATGAACGAGGTTCATAGTAGTATTGGTTCAGACCCGAGGAATGTTGAAGTACACATTAAAATGAGGTTTGAGACCGGCAATGGGGTTCAAGTGTTACCGGTTTCTACGAATAAGCATGTGAAAGCTCTAAGGAGCGTTGTTGCAATGAAGGGTTTTCCCACTGAGATATATGTAGAAATGGTGCCTATATGTACCCAACAAAGTACTCGGGCAGAACAACAATCTACATATACTTCGGGTTACAACACAGAACCCTTCCAAGTGCCCTCACACGACATTCCATCAACTGAATTTGGGATGGGAACTTTCAGTCGAATGCTTCACGACGATCAATTACAGATGCCGTTTAGTTCTCATATAGCTTCACCTGTATATGGGGGGGCATATGTGGCAATGGCCGGCCAAGTTGGGCCTTCGACATCAAACACCGTCACACCTTCACCTGTGCAAATGCATAGTCATCCACCCATGGAAGATGATGTTCAAGCATCGCCGTCTCAACTTGTGCCAGTTCCTCTGGGAAATATTGTGAATAACGAATTGTCTGTGTATGATGTGTATACAAATGATGAGGCTGAGAGCGGAGAGGATGAAGACGGACTTCAGAACATGGATGTTGAACCTGCTCACATGGAAGTTGGTGAGCCCCTGGTTAGAACTCCCAGTCCTTGGTTCAGTCAGGTAAACGAGAACTACGAAGTTGATCAGTATTGGGCCGAATCGGGTAGCCGTTCGTCGTTTGTTCCTGGGGGAGAATTTGAGAAGGGGATGTGGTTTGAAAGTAAGAAAGTGCTTCAAGAAATGGTGAAGATGTATTCCATACAGAGGAATCAATTCTACACCACAGTGACATCGAATGAGAGTGTCCTTCATTTGCGGTGCAATAAGTATACAGAGGAATCAATTCTACACATTACAGGCGGCGGCGTGTCAGACGGAGGGCCGACACAGAGACAGAACCTTTACCCCGAATAAATGAGTCGGGATAGTATTAGGTCATTTACTTCCTCTAGCCCGATTTTGTAGAATGATGTAAATAACACTTATATTATTAATATAATGAATGTTTTTTTAATGAATCTGTGTGATGTGAAGTTTAATTTCCTTATTTGTCTAAATCGGACTTTGGTGGTTCACGGTGGTTGTAGTGCTGTTGGGGGTGTTGACAGTGGCGGGAGGTGGTGGTTGGTGGAGGTCGACGGTGGTGGGACGGTAGGGGTTGGTGGTGGTGGTGATTGCAGTGTTGCAGGGGTTGTTGGAGTGTTTTCAACGGCATACGGGTGGTCGAAAGTGGCGGGAGGTGGTGGTTGCTGGTGGTCGACGGCAGGGGTTGCTGGTGGTGGTTGAGGGTGCTGGCTGTATGAAGGCTGGGGGTGCTGCAGGTTGCTGGAGCATGTTGGTGGTGGTTGCTGCTGGTCTGCTGTCTCCAGCAGAAAAACGCTGTCTGGGACAGCGCTTTAGGTTTCAACATAAAGCGCTGTCTCAGACAGCGTTTTATGTTCAACAAAAAAATTGAACATAAAACGCTGTCTCGGGCAGCGTTTTATGTTCAATTTGAATTCTTATTTTTTTTAAGGTAAAACGCTGTCTGGGACAGCGTTTTACCAACTGAATTTTTTAAAAAAAATATTCCAGGATAAAACGCTGACCGAGACAGCGTTTTACCCTAGAAGCTTAGTTTGGTAAATACTTTTGCCACGCGTCCACTTTGGTAAATATTTACCAATTTGGGCTCAATTTGGAAAAACGTCCGAGAATTTTAGTCAACTTTTGAAATTGGCTTTAGGAGTCTCAATTAGGCGGATCGACTTGTCCTCCACGTAATATTTACCAACTTGTCGCGACTAAGCTTAAGGTGAAACCGTCTCACACTACTTAGCCGTCTCACACTGCTTATTTACACCGTAGTTGTCTGAAATCGTCTCACACTAGTTAAATTGTACCATAGTTGTCACTATCCCAATTTTATGTGTTGAGACTCAAGATGATTATAATTATAACACATCCTTGGTTTGAGATGCTGGGAGCAAGTGATTGATGTTGCTAAGATGAATCGTACATGTAAAGATTATAACACCCAAAAACGAGAAATCAAACACTTGCTAAAAGGAGTAGAAGAGAACAAAAAATAAAGAGACAATCTTTGAAAAGAGTCATGTTCATATCGTAAGGTATTGTCCTCTAACTATGACCCTGTGTAGGAGTTTTCATATGTTTGTTCCATAGGACCATAACTGAATTTGTAGGAACAGTTGTGCATACGCGATATATCCAAACCTGAGCTAAAAAATAAAATAAAAATTTAAAAAGATTATACAGTTTTCAGCAAAAATGAATACGAAAATACATTTCGGGGGCGTATTGTAAATCTGGTCAAGACTAACACTAACATTTTGCAAAAAAAAAAGCCATCAACAGATCAAGAATATACAACAGTTCCTCTGTTATTCATGGCTTCTCCTTTGTTGGGGAAGTTAACAAATGATGCAAAGTGTTTGTATGAATTACAGCACTAGGGTTTGGATCCCTCGTTCGGACTGAATCAGGTTGCTTGGCACTAAAGCTCTTGTCCAACCCACGTCGCACAGGACGCTTCCCTGACCATGGAAGGAAACGCACCAACCTTGTTGAACTCACCAACATAATCACACCTATAATTATAAGTAACCTGTGGATGGACATAACAATATTAATGGTCTGGTTTAAAGAAACTTGAACCAAAGCACCAACAACAAAGACATTAAAATCTTCATAAACAAACCCCCTCAGTTCACAAAAAAGTACTTCATATAATTTTTTCTGTCCGTCAAACTTTCACCAATACGTTATGAAAAATAATAACCAATTTATACCCGGAAAAGAAAAAGAGAAGAAAAATAAATAAAATCTCATATTGACATATTGTATCAGAATATGGGTTCTTCAAATCTTCGTGATACTTGCTGGAAATAAACCAATAGACAAAGTTTGACCTTGAAAAGTGAAAGGCACACTTAATCTCATTTAACAAAATCCACAGATACCAAAAACAGTGGAAAGATCAGATAAGAAATAAAGTTTTCATCTTGAAGATCTTTATAGGACCAGTAAAGTGATTTTGGATGCTAAATGAATATGCATTCACTGTTTATCAAGCTAATCTTGTAGCCAACAAGGCCAGGAAAGATTGGGTTTTCCTAAACAACGCAATGGCCATATTGACTTGAGAAAATACAAGGCAAACACAAGCCATTTGGCAGACGGTCATACAATATGTTAATATTGCAAAAGGAAGTCTCATCCATAATCCATGGTAATAGTAATACAATTACATCTTAATCATACCATATCATGAGACATTGAACGAGACTATTCTTACAAACTTACACATAGATCCATCACCAATACTGCTATTTGATAGGCCTTAAGAGGTCTGCATACATAATAGTCTTAAAATTTAGCTAGTCGATAGCTTCATGCTAAATACAATCTTGTTTTAAATTTTAACTTTAAAGTGAAGGTGGGGCTGTCAAATGCAGCAGAAATTAATTTTCAGGAAGACACTGAAATAGATGGGACAAGGATATACA